TTTTGTAGAGTCCATTGAAATTCGAAGGCAACTTTCTCTAGTGAAAATAAAACCGCACTGTTCTGAGTTTGGGATTTCTACACTAATGTTACCACTAACCTGCATATTTACTCAGATGTGGATGCAAAAGCCATAGTCATGGTGATATGTCTGTTGTCGACATGTTTCAGTCATTCTGCCGGTCTGTTTTGCAATAGAAAAGTGTTTGTCAATCGATGTAGTTTGTGTTGGTTATGTTCACGAGTGAGGGTAGAATGACGCATGAGATGGATCAGCAGTTTGGTGCGGCTTCCCCCGCTTTTGTGTAGAACATTAGTTAACTGCCTTGCACAATCTTTAGCCATAAATTTTGTTGGTGAATGTGACACATTTGCATCACACATGTCTGCATCCTCACAATCAGAAACAAGAAAGTGAATTTGGGGACTGCTATGATTCAGGAAACTCAAAGGAAACTATGATGATTGGTCAAATTTACAGAGAAGTTGCAGTGAATGGACAAATTTAAGGTCGTGCAAAATTCACAGGGATTGAATTAATTTGTGTTCATTGATGCAATTACAACATCCTGGAGGGGCAGATATTTGAGTTTTCATCCAATCAAAGTGGAGGAGTTCAGAGGGTTAATATTAAACAAAAAGCTCCAGGCAACTGGACGCAGTTCTGGAAACCTTTCAAAGACTTGATATATTTATGTTATGCCACATATTAAAAAGCAAAACAATCTGCTGCAGCAGCACCTCCAACAATGTAAAGCAGCGAGGAGCCCTGAGGAGTCCTGGACAGGCTGTTATCTCATCCAGGGAGATAGGAAGTATGGACAGGAAATCTAGGGGGAGGGGGAGGAGAAGCCCCATATGGGAAGTGCAGTGTAAACAGTCTCGGCTTTTAATCATCCCAGCTCACGTTCGGAACTGGACACACTTTGATGTTCTCCCTCAGCGCCGCCTCCACCCTCCCATCCCTCGTTCCCTAACGGCCGTGCTGAGGGCCGGCGAGGGGAACATGCAGATAGTGGCCTCAGTTGGTCGAGGAGGCATTCAGTACCTTATGGGATAGCGAGAAGGGAGACGAAAGAATGTGAAGTGGTGCAGACTTAACTGGTGTTCAGTCAATTGCCTGCCCTGACTTAATTATAGCTGACGTATTTAAGGGAGCTCTCAAAGGTCAATTCAACATTTCAAAGTACAAAGACCCAAAAATACAGTGAGAGGAAGAAAAGAAAGTCAAGATGTCTTTGAGCAAAAATAGGTGGAGCTCTTAATTGGGCACATTGCCCATTGGAGGATAAACTCTTTCTCTAAACAGAGGCCAGAGGACAGTTGACAATCCTCTCAAGTTCAAAGTTATCCCCGGAGCTTTTGCACTGCTCCTCTGGTCATAATGCAAGCTTCACTCTGGAAATGGGGAGAGAGTCAAAATTCCTCAGCACTTGTATTTGTCCAAATAGTGCTGGCCAGACCCCAGCCAGTGTTCCAATGAACGTGTTCATTCAGAGGACAGGGCATACTTCCAGGGAGATCACAGTTTAACAGATCAGACGGAGATGCGTACCAAAGCAAAGTCTTATGACTTGAATACACTGAGGGAAACCGGGGATTTCTTCTACCCTCAAACGCTCTGAGTGTGGTCCTCACGTGTGTTACCAAACATCATCAAAACAGGATCTGATGATTTATCAGAGAAGTAACTTCAGTTCAACAAAACTTCGCCAAAAGTATGTGAATCTGTACTGTTTTACATAACAGCACAAAGTTTCAACAATGTATGACTCATACAAAGCCAAAATTATGTTTAACTTCTAATGTCTGATGTTGCTTTCCTTGACATTAACTTCAAAAATTAGACAGTTCTAATAAAACAGCGAGACAATCCAAGGCTCAGAGGAGTGACATGTTGCCAAAGATCAACATGTGGTCCAGAGTAAAATCTGGGATAGCGTCTGAGACTCCGAAAGTGCACTCACTGAAGTCACAGACAGGAATTAAGCTAGAAGACAATTTGGCTTTGCAGTCATGATAATACATTACATCTGGACCATTTTAAAGGGACAGTTCACCCCCAAATCAAAAATACATATTTTTCCTTACCTATAGTGCTCTTTATCAATCTAGACTGTTTTATTGACTATCTTGAGCGAGTGACATTTCTGTTTTCTCAGCACTTTGAGCACTACAAGCTAAGTGCCATCTAGTTCCATTATACTGAAGAGAAGGCAGACATCTCTATAGCCAATATCTCCAACACTCAGCAACTTACACCAAAATCATCTAGATTGATAAACAGCATTACAGGTAAGACGAAAAATATGTATTTTTGATTTGGAGCTAAACTGGCCCTTTAACACAGAGGAGAGAGAGCACAATCTGAGATAGAAAAAGGACAAAGACAGACCTATCTATGGACTCAACCTCCTTTCCAGCCTTCATCCCCCCCGTCCACTGGAAGACAAGAACATAAAGCGGGACCGTAAAGCAGCCTGCAGAGGCAGTGAGGACCTGTCGGAACAGGCCTGAGCTGCAACAAAGAGCATCCTGCAGCATAACACCACCTCTGTGCACTGTGGGAACAGCCTGGGAAGAGAGAGTCTGACAAAACTATACCTTCCAAACCTCAGACAGAACCACAATCAATGGTCTGAGTTAGGGAAACAAGGAAACAGAAGAGCGGACAAAACCAACTGTACGGACTTTGTAGCCAGCAGAAAGTAAGAAAAAACAGGGATGTTATCATTCAGACTATGGCTGAGATAAAAATATTAGTTTGAATGTGGCTGGTGCACCTTTCTTCACACCTTTAGGAAAATCTGGGCAGATATCACTTCTACAATCTTGATTGAGCTCAGTCACCCATCTGTTACCATAATATGCAGCTGTAGCTCTTCACTGAGACCTGGTGACAGGGGGTTAATATCTTTTCATTTCCTCTACAGCACATGTGGCCCCATGGAACACTACAAAACACTGTGCAAGGTTTTATGAGAATTAAAATAAAGAAAGCTGGAAATCCCAGAAAGCTGGAAGTGTCTTTGATCTCACCTGCATGGTAATATGCATCCATAACATGTTGTCAACATCCCACACAGACACATTAAAGCCGAATAACTGGAGAGGAAAACAGCAATGGCTTTTCACGGTGCCTTATACTGGGGCTTTCTCCGTGGAGAAGCCATGTAAATCCTTATCAATTATGGCTAACTGCAGCATCTGGCTTGCCATTCACAAAGCCTCCCACGCCTGGTGAGTGACAAGAGACAAGATCCTACAGTGCCTCATGTCTGTCGTCCCGTTTCTCTGGAGACGGTAAACAAATTGACACAGCCGAGCTTTAAGGCCCAGGAGCCTTAATCCACTCCTGAATCCTAAATATGCACACTGAATAGAGTGCATACTTTACATCTGCAGGGTATCGGCATGTTTTTTTTTCCTAAATGGTAAATGGTGAAAAAAACAAACAAACAAACAAAAAAAAAAACACTTTTGCAGTCCTCGACCACACCTTGATATTAAAAATGTTGGAAGAGCATTAGATGCCATAAATAGTTTCTGCAAAACAAAGCTATCACCTTTGAACAGATACACATAAAAGAGCTTGGCAACCACAGCCAAACCAATGTTCTTTTTTTTCCAGGGATAAGTAGAAATAGCCTGAAAACAAATTAACCTCAATAACACCTGTATGTCATCGTTATTGTTCAAGGAATTTAGATTTTCTGTCACCACACGCTGAGTGGGAACTGTGGTATTGTGAGCAGCTCTCGGAAAGACACAGTGTACAGTAACCCCCGGTCACTGCACTATTTTGAGGGCGTATAGCAACAAGTACAGGTGTTAAATAATTTAGTTTATCAGACAGTGGATGCTGGGTAAACTGTTCGGATAGATGCACTGATGACTAATTATCAAATCAATGCTTTTACATGGACCACTTCTGATCTATGGACTGTCAGTGATGAATTATTGCTCCCCAGTCCAACAGTGATGGTAGTAGAGATTAGTCTAGTCCAGGCGAGTCAAACATACGGCGTATTGACAATACACTTGATTTGTTAACTTTAACTGCCTCCTCAACAGCATTTAGCACTTAAGTTTGGTGTGGTGATGTCAGCTTTACTACACAGGGGAGAAAATATATGGAGAAATGCACGTGCAAAGACAGACATGGCTGACCATTATGTTTTGTAAATGGATGAACATCTTCAGGATTCTTTACACTAACAGACAGGGAAACATTTAGAGGTGTTGTTCTTTATAGGTTATCATGCAGTGGTCCGGCCCACTTGAGATCAAACTGGGCTGTATGTGGCCCAAAATTACACCCCAGGTCCTAAAGTATGATACCATTTACTTTGATCAATATACTTTCAGCACTGTACAACGGGAGAACATTCAAGTTTAATAATCCTCTACTACAATGAAACTGTCAGTGGGAGGGTCCCCTGGGACAAAATGGTAATCAGAGCAACTGGCTGATGTAAGTGTATATCTATGCACAGACGATGCCAACAATACATAGGTTGAAGACATGGATGGATTACTGAGCGTGCCTGCCAGGCGCAGGCCCAGGAGCCCAACGTGTCAGGGGCCCCCTGGCCTTCACTTGCAAAATGTCAAATGTCAAGTTAGCATGTACCAACTGGGAACACACTCAAAATGACCACAAGAAACAAACCCATGAAAAGATGCATTGCGACTACAAAGAGATGCAAAACCACCACAAAGTCTGTGTGTCTGTGCAACTGTGCAGTAGAGGTGGGGGGCCTTATGAATGTCTGTGCCCTGGGACCCATATTCTCATAATCCGCCCATGATTGAGGACCAATTATTCCCACCCATCTACATTTATTAATTGTATTTGAGCAAGGCATTAGAGCCCATACAAACTCTGGCAACAGGTGCCCACACGCACTCCTCAGTGAGTTCACCTTTATAGGTTTGGAGGTAAATGATAAGTGAGAATAACATACAACATCATGTAAATGCTCTTTAATGACTCCTTACCTGCATTAGTTTTCCCTCTGCGTAGCCGGCGCTTCCTCCCACGAACACCCCTTCCAGAGTGATGGGCTTCCCCGTCGGCTCGTGGTTCAGCAGTGCCACCTTGATGACCGCTCGCAAGGCCGGCCGCTCCGACTCCAAGCCCGGCTGGCCCAGCACCACCTGCAGGGCCGCCATGAGCAGCCACGGCCAGAGCCCGGCCAGGCGCCGCTGGGGGACGGTCATGGCCTCGGCTGTAGCGGCGGTGCCCGGCCGCACATGGTGGACTTCAAAGCAGGCAAGCACCGCGGATAGACAAACGGAGGAAATATTGATATGTGTAATGTATACGTCCCACTTCTTCTTTCAGCCTCGACGACTATACTGCTTAAACTTTTAAAGCTGGAGCACTGCCATCATAACTCATGCGTGAATGTCCCAAAACTTCCATTCAGCACCAGAGTTAATATTCAAACTGTACAGAAACGCGAATCACTCAGTGCCCACATGGGACAAAGCGCTGCAGAGAGCTGATATCTCCCGACACACAGCAGTGAGCTTAAATGAACTTTTATCCAGTGTCATTAATGTGTGTGGCATGGCACCGTGAAGACACTCTGTGTTGTGTTAGTGTGCACAACAAATGTCCTCATTTGTAATGTGTCGGCGTTACAGTCGAGCTGCTGTATCCTCTCCAACACGGGCACGTCCTGACAACAGTGTATCAATCTTCATCCGTATCCAAACTACTATTAATATCACAGTGTGCACCAGTCACTGGAGCTTACAATCACATTTTGCGAGCAAACAAACAAGCGTCAGAAGAAAGCACATCCTGCGGGCGCCACATTTTCTGGATAAATCCACAAAAAACGCACGAGCGACGACTTGAACTTCAAAGGCTGGGTTACAGGTTGCCGCCGGAAACTTATAAGGCATGTTGACTGATAGAGCAGTGCCAAAAAAAGAAGTTGGGTAATATTTTTACAACCAATGTTGCGAAAAATAATCCTCGAAGAAGTTAAATACAGCACGCCGCTCTATCTAATTATTAACCAAAGCAAATGGACCGTTGCCTTACTTCACTTATAACGTGGTAATTATACTGAGTCCGAAACCACAGCGACTTCTGTAACAGACCCATCAACCTATTCTCTACAGTCGGTCTTCATTTAAACCAACTGGTTGTACAAAAAAAAAAAAACAAAAAAAAAACACAGACACACTCTCACACACACACAATCACACACAGGCATTCCCCTGAGTTCAGTGGCTCCGCTGCACTGTAAGAAATTAGATACGATCCTCCTGAGAACACCGAGGGAAATGATCAAACTCATCAGCGGTCACGGAGCAGAAACACCACAAAAAGTACGACATAAAAGTGGTCCAAACTCCTCGTGGGCTCCATTGAAAGTTAATAAAGAGGAGAGACGCCGTGTACAGTCATGACACCGTCCCAAAAGTCTACCTCCCGGACTGTCTCTCGCTCCCCTGGGATCTCATTGACACTCTCTACCTGCTCACTGTCCTGCTGCGTTCACGTCCTGTCAGAGATTACACTTTTTATAGAAACGACGCACATGAACGACCAGATATCTTTGGAGAAAGGTGGCTTTTTGTCACCTGCCTTGTTAAGCCTGAGAAGAAACAGTGTTACCAAACTTTATAGGTCCTTTATTTATTATGGTGACGCTACAAAAATAGTTAAAGCTGTAACATCGCAGGAGCTTCCGAGGAGCACCCCAAGGCCACATTGGAGGCTGAGGGCGGAGCAGCAGTGCTGATCACAAACGAGTAAGTGGCTCCCTCTACTGTTCAAAAGCCTACAGACACCTTCAGCACACAGCTGCAGTGATCATGAAATCCACATGCACAACAACCCATTCAGCTGAATCATCATAAATATTTCTCACTTTAATTATTAATTTAATACAGGTCCCTTTAAAAACATCTCAGTTACAAGTTTAAAACTGCTGCACCTTTGAAGTAAAAAATAAAAAGGTGGGGAAATGCACCCACCACTTGGTCACCATCACAATGCAAACAGTCACTCGTGGATTAAATGAATTTATATATTTTCATACATCTGTTCAATATTTTCAGCTCATTACAGCAGTTTGTTACAACTTGCTATGACGGATGCTACCAGCTATGCTATTAAAAACAGACTGCAGGTGAAAAATGGGGAGAAGCTGAGTCAGCCCTACTGCAGCAAATCTACATAAACCACACTTAAAATTACAATTCCTTAAAAACATCACAAAGTGGTCAAATTTTTTAAATACTACTGTGTTAAAAATGTAGAGATAAAACCTTGCTTTACATTTTAAAAATGTACCATGGTACAAGTAATTCTACTGGAAATACACAAAGATACACAACATATACCTACTTTTGCAACAACAAAATATACTTAAGATTAAAATTAGATCACATCAACAAACTTTTACACAACAAAGAATCAGTAACGTGGAGAATAACATCTGGCTGCAGTGAGAAATTAAGATCACATCCTGACGTGAATCACGAATCCCTGTCACACGTCAATCAAATCAACAAGCTGAGATCTACAACGAGAAATATAATCAACTGTCAGTGAACTTGTTTCAGTGATGACTTGCAAACATACATTCAAAATTTAAATGCCTTTCCTGTGACTAGTTTCTAAATGTGCCCCCTGAATTTTCACTAATGTCTTACCTAAAGACTTGGTGTACTTCCTGTGCATCTGGACTGACTGGTATCCCTCAGAGTGTCGCAAACCTCGACACATACATCCTCAGTGTGCGTTGCATCATCGCTGGTAGCCTTGCCAGGGCACAGAGAACACCACAGCAAATAATGTGCTGTTCTGCTACACTGTGACACATTCTCTAGTAAATATACCAAAATATCTAGGAATCAATTATAATATATATATATATATATACAGTACAGGCCAAAAGTTTGGACACACCTTCTCATTCAATGCGTTTTCTTTATTTTCATGACTATTTACATTGTAGATTCTCACTGAAGGCATCAAAACTATGAATGAACACATGTGGAGTTATGTACTTAACAAAAAAAGGTGAAATAACTGAAAACATGTTTTATATTCTAGTTTCTTCAAAATAGCCACCCTTTGCTCTGATTACTGCTTTGCACACTCTTGGCATTCTCTCCATGAGCTTCAAGAGGTAGTCACCTGAAATGGTTTCCACTTCACAGGTGTGCCTTATCAGGGTTAATTAGTGGAATTTCTTGCTTTATCAATGGGGTTGGGACCATCAGTTGTGTTGTGCAGAAGTCAGGTTAATACACAGCCGACAGCCCTATTGGACAACTGTTAAAATTCATATTATGGCAAGAACCAATCAGCTAACTAAAGAAAAACGAGTGGCCATCATTACTTTAAGAAATGAAGGTCAGTCAGTCCGGAAAATTGCAAAAACTTTAAATGTGTCCCCAAGTGGAGTCGCAAAAACCATCAAGCGCTACAACGAAACTGGCACACATGAGGACCGACCCAGGAAAGGAAGACCAAGAGTCACCTCTGCTTCTGAGGATAAGTTCATCCGAGTCACCAGCCTCAGAAATCGCAAGTTAACAGCAGCTCAGATCAGAGACCAGATGAATGCCACACAGAGTTCTAGCAGCAGACCCATCTCTAGAACAACTGTTAAGAGGAGACTGCGCCAATCAGGCCTTCATGGTCAAATAGCTGCTAGGAAACCACTGCTAAGGAGAGGCAACAAGCAGAAGAGATTTGTTTGGGCCAAGAAACACAAGGAATGGACATTAGACCAGTGGAAATCTGTGCTTTGGTCTGATGAGTCCAAATTTGAGATCTTTGGTTCCAACCGCCGTGTCTTTGTGAGACGCAGAAAAGGTGAACGGATGGATTCCACATGCCTGGTTCCCACTGTGAAGCATGGAGGAGGAGGTGTGATGGTGTGGGGGTGTTTTGCTGGTGACACTGTTGGGGATTTATTCAAAATTGAAGGCACACTGAACCAGCATGGCTACCACAGCATCCTGCAGCGACATGCCATCCCATCCGGTTTGCGTTTAGTTGGACGATCATTTATTTTTCAACAGGACAATGACCCCAAACACACCTCCAGGCTGTGTAAGGGCTATTTGACCAAGAAGGAGAGTGATGGAGTGCTGCGGCAGATGACCTGGCCTCCACAGTCACCGGACCTGAACCCAATCGAGATGGTTTGGGGTGAGCTGGACCGCAGAGTGAAGGCAAAGGGGCCAACAAGTGCTAAACACCTCTGGGAACTCCTTCAAGACTGTTGGAAAACCATTTCAGGTGACTACCTCTTGAAGCTCATGGAGAGAATGCCAAGAGTGTGCAAAGCAGTAATCAGAGCAAAGGGTGGCTATTTTGAAGAAACTAGAATATAAAACATGTTTTCAGTTATTTCACCTTTTTTTGTTAAGTACATAACTCCACATGTGTTCATTCATAGTTTGATGCCTTCAGTGAGAATCTACAATGTAAATAGTCATGAAAATAAAGAAAACGCATTGAATGAGAAGGTGTGTCCAAACTTTTGGCCTGTACTGTATATATATATATATCATAACACATTCATTCATTACTGCTTATCCTATTAGGAGTCGTGTGCGGGCTGGAGCCTATTCCAGCTGACACTGGGCCAGAGGCACAGTACACCCTAGACAGGTCACCATACTATCACACGGCTAACACATAGAGACATACAACCACCCACATTCACACCTATGGCCAGTTTAGAGTCACCAATTAACCTGCATGTCTTTGGACTGTGGGAGGAAGCCGGAGTACCTGGAGAAAACCCACACTGACACAGGGAGAACATGCAAACTTGGCACAGAAGGGCTCCCCCACCCTGGGGTTCAAACCAGGTACCCTCTTGCTGTGAGGCGACAATGCTAACCACTGTACCACCGTGCCTATTATAAAATATATTGATGAAAAATATAGAGAAAAGAATGTCTATGCTACAACAGGGAACAACACACCACTCAGACCTCACTCTTCAGAAAAAATAAAGCTAAATGCCTTCAGAAGATCTGCAATGTAGAGGCTTACCTCATTTATCGCATCTTCAGGCATCTGCTCTGGTACTGAAACCACAGACTCCTCCTCCTGTTTGTATGTCATCAAATCAACATTGCCCGCCACAGCTGTTATGATGGGCCAAGGACTTAAAGGTTCAACTTTCACAGTGCTGGCAGAGCTGTCACGCAGCATGGTGCTAGAGGTGTTGGAGGACGGCACTATTGCAGCGCCTGGCTTCACGGGGGTCACAGCTCCAACCACGCTGTTACTGGGCAGGGTTTGCATCACCTCATCTGCAATCTGGAAAACTGCGTCCAAGTTAATGTCACATTTTTTCTCATCCTGGTGTTGCTTTGAGTCCTGGTTGTTGTCCCCATGACACATCACATTGCAAGGATAGCTAGCCTAAAACAGTGAAATAAAAAGATATGCTTTAGACAAAGTCCCTGTTTAAAACACTCATCTTTAGAGCTGCAATGATTAATATTTTAATTGGTTCGTTTTCAACTATTAAATCAACAAATGTGATAATCGATTAATTAGTTTGCGTAATTTTCTATTAAAAAAACAACAACTTTAAAATCTGATCTGACATTTTAAAGACCAAACAACTAATCAATTAATTAAAAAACTAAGCTACAGTGAAAATAATTATTAGTTGCAGCCCTCCTCTTTTTTCTTGACCAATCACAGATTCATCATTGATTATGTAACACAAAGTCATCACATTCCTATTTACTTACCTGGTAATAACTGTGGGGAGAGAACAGCCCTGTCTGAAGCCCACTTCCTGCCATGGGTGATGCCAAAAGGCTCGGATGGTAAGACTGGCAAACTTCCAAAAGGGCAAAAGAAAATATTTTAGATTATGAAATGCACGGTTCGGAGTTGAAACCTACATTCTTTCATTGAGAATTAATAAAGAATATTTATTCAACACAGATTAGTACATTTTGGTATATTACAAGTACATTATAGCTAAAGTGTTTTTACTACTCATGCACAATGTAGATAAAATTATGTATGTCGACTGTCATACTCACATGGGGAACAGAAGCCAGGCTGATGACCAGTATAAGTGGTGAAATTTGGATTTGCATGGTATGGACGGGCCAGTAAACTCTGCTGAAAGTGCACAGCACTGGGGCTTGAGGGTTCTGCAGTGGAGCGGTGGCTTAAAGACGCTAGCATCCCTTTGTCTGTCGCAAAGACAGAAGGCCCAAAAGCTGCACCAAGACCCCTTGTCGGGAACTGTGGTGGGATTGGGGTTCCATTGTACGCTGTCATGACCTGAGCTTTATTTGGATGGTAACGAGGAGTTGACTCCTGATGTTTGGGGCTAAGCAGTGAAGAACTGCCTGAGGAAACAGAGAAAAAGCAGACCATGACAACAACCTGTTAGACAGCTGTTATTGAAATGTAAAGAACTGGATTGTGGAAATAAAATTGCAATTAGAAGTTTGGTTCAGATGAAAAGGGGCAAAGCATTTAGGATTCATAATGACCTTTACAGGTTTGTGGACTCTTTATGGTCCTTGAAAAGTTTAAAGAGGGAGTGCATCTACATTCCCATGGTCCTATGTTCCT